AAAGCGCTGGTTCGTGCGCCCAGCATTTGCTCTTTCTGACCGTCCCAGAAGAAGCTCAAGGCTCTCATTGGGACAAGGTCGATCAGCCGACTACTACCGTGTGGGCCACGCGTGGTCTCACATCGGAAGAGAAGGAGGAGAAGTACCAAGAGCTGGCGCGGAAGGGTGTCCTGGAAGAAGTCGAGAAGCTCTTCTTGGCCAAGGAAATCAAGGCGATTGGCAAGAAGTCTGGAAAAAAGGACGACAAGAAGCAAATCATCTCGCGCGACCTTATGCACAACTTCCAGATCAGCATGGCCAAGTTCTCGTCGTATGCTGTTGAGGATGTTGTCCGGATGATTATCCACTGTGACCCCAAGATCTTGGATGATCCGGTTACCATGGAGTTCCTCCAAAAGAACGATTTCTGTGATATCCCGGATAACACCGCGAAACTCATGGCGCCATACTCCAAGGACTGGACTGGACCCAATGCCAGTGAAAGTAAGCGTGAGCAGGATCCTAACGAGCTGACTAGGGAGGATCAAATATATCTCTTCACGGCTTACGAACTACATCACTACTGGAAGAGTAGGATGAGGGCTCTTGCGCTCACTCGCACATTCCAGACCGATTACGATGAAATCTCCGCCAAGCTGCTGGAGATATCACGCGTGTCCGAAAGCTTGAGGGATTCGACTAGTTTGATTAGTGTTCTTGGTCTCATTCTTGATATTGGTAACTTCATGAACGACGCGAACAAGCAAGCCAGTGGATTCAAGCTCTCCACCCTTGGTCGACTGGGTATGCTCAAGGATGACAGGAACGAGTCGACATTTGCCGATGTGGTCGAAAGGATTGTTCGCAACCAGTACTCCGGATGGGAAGGCTTCACGGACGAGATCAGCGGCGTTATTACGGCGCAAAAGATCAACGTCGAGCAACTCCAGACGGATGCCAAGAAGTACATTGACAACATCAAAAACGTGCAGATGTCGCTCGACTCTGGTAACTTGTCTGATCCGACAAAGTTCCACCCTGAAGACAAGGTCTCCATTGTTGTCCAAAGAAATATGAAGGAGGCGAGACGGAAGGCGGAGCAATTGCAGGTGTTCCTCGAGGATATGCAGAAGAGTTATGATGACATTATGGCGTTTTACGGAGAAGACCCAAGTGATGATAGCTCGAGGAGGGATTTCTTTGCGAAGCTGGCCAATTTCGTACAAGAGTGGAAGGTGAGTCAGCATATATTTGCGCGATTGCTTTTGTTTGTTTCTGCTTGCTAACAAACATTCCAGAAATCCAAGGAAAAAAATACCGCCCTCGAAGAACAACACCGCCGCAACGAAATCTCCATGCGCCGCAAACAAGCACAAAACACAACCCCCCTCTCTCCCAACGCGCTATCAGACTCCGACGCACCCAAATCACCCGCCTCCACCGGCGCCATGGACGACTTACTCCAGAAACTGCGGGCTGCCAAACCAGAAGCAAGAGACCAGCGTGACCGCCGTCGCCGTGCGCGCTTAAAGGACAAACACCAGGTGCGCGTGGCTAGTGGCCAGAAGATGCCCGAGATTGGCGTCAACATGGGCGATGGCAGCGGCGCTGAAGGAGCGGCTGACGGAGAGGATGAACAGCGCAATAAGTTACTAAGCCCCATGAGCGAAACTGCAGATAGCGAGGCTAGTAGCGTCGCCCCCAGCACCACCGCAGCAGCCAGTACAACAGCAGCAGAAGCAGACATCGCCGACCGTGCGGCCGCTATGCTAGAAGGCCTTCAATCCGGCGCCAGCCTCAACAAAGACGGCAGCCTCAGCGTCCGTCGCCGACGCGAAAGCGCAGATACGGAACGTCAACGGAGACGTAATCGTCGTAATCAAGCGTCCTCTGTTAAGGGGGATGAAACTGCTGGGCCGATGAGCCCCGCTATACCCGAGGAAGGCGGTGGAGACGCTGGCGAGGGCGATAGTACAATGGAGGGAGCGAGTATGTTGGATGATACGGCGGCGGATGAGGTGGGTAGGGATAGAGTTGCGTCTGGCGAGCCGCAGACGCCTGTTACCGTTGTTCATCCGCCTAGTCCGGAGGCCAAGGCGAGGGATTTACCTACGCCACCGCCGGAGTAGTTGTTGTGGTGGTGAATAGAGGGTTTTCTTTTGGGTGTTGGTTGGATGGATGTATGGGAGGGTTGGTTGGATTGGATTGAATTGGCATGGCAGGGGGAAATGGAGATGCGTGGTGGGTGGGATAGGTGGGTGGGATGGGATGCGTCGTTCCGCATGCATGCACAAGAGAATACGTAACACTATAGCATGGCTTTTTTTCTGTCTGTTACTGTTACTTCGATACCCGCATGGTTTTTCAAATATGTACTTTTTTGGATTATGAATGGATATTGTTGTATGAAACATGACACGAGAATAAATAAAAATGCATGGTGAGTTTGTGATATTGTGATGTTTGGGTGCTTGGAGGTTGGAGGTTGAGTGGTCTAGGGATAGAGTTTGGGGTTTGGGGTTGTTATAGTGTGAGGTGTGAGGTGGGGTGGGTGTAGGTAAAGAGATTATAGAACACGCTCTATCTATACAATCATAGCGGGTTTGGTACGGTAAGATACATTGTAGTTGAATGTCGCCTTGTTCTCTCAGTTAGAACGTGTTTAGTCGTGCCTCCTTTTGTGTGCTGGACTACCATTCATCGTTTGGGTTGAATATCATCGAAAACCTCCAGGTTAACCATCTTTGTCTATAACGCTATTATTAGCTGGCGCGAAACTAAGCAGGATACAATCTGTTATGGTTTGGGAGCGGTAGTTTTGGGGAGTTTTGAGCTGCATCATGATATCAAACTGATGGTGAATAGAATAATGATTAAGAAAGAGATAATAGGGGTGAGGATAATAGTGGTGAAGAAGGAGTAGACTATAACTTGTTTACTCGTGTCTCAATTTGGTTCAGCTTGTCCACCCTACGCATCCTTGGCGTATCAGATTGGCAAACCAGTGACTACATCCTATTGACGAGAGCTTTACCAAGCTCATCTACACTTGCCCCGGACTACCTAAACTCCATCAAAGAAGATGATGGCGAAGAAAGAGTAGACTATGACCCGTTCACTCGCATCTTCCCCCTGTTTAACCGAACCGCCCAAACTCCGTCAAACAAGATGATGGTGAAGAAGGAGAAGACAAGACTACCCCCAAACACAAGACTATGATACGTCCACGCGTTTCTCGGGTTCAAGCTGGCGACCTGGCAAACGATAGCCCACGGCAAGACGTACAGGATATTCGATGCGAGAGATTGGTACAAATACCACCTAGGCCTTGTGGCAGCAAGGACAGCGGCAAGTTGAGTGGAGACGCCATAGAGAATATAGCACCAATCAACCGTCCGCCACATGCGCGCCACAATCTTAGCCACCTCGTCCGAGCCAGAAAGGTATCTTGCAAACTGGCCCGCGCCGCGGAACGCCATGGAGAAGCAAAGAGGAATCTCGACAACCAGGACTATGGCGATGGAGTAAAGCACCCACCGCGCCACACTCCAGATCTGGCGCCTCGTCGCTTCTGGTTTCGTATTGTGGCGCCGCCCAGATTCGTCACCGAGCGAGGAGGCGCGGAACTGTCCCCATGAATGGCCGATAAACGTGAGCGTGGTAGCTTCAAGCGCCATGACAGGAACCATAACCAAGCCCCATCGGATTGTCGAAAACACCCCCCACGCAGTCGCATAATCCCTCCCAAGATCCACAATCCCATGAACCAACCACAGATACAACGCATTGCGAATCGCGGATTCGACAAAAAACACAATCCCCGGTTTCGCCAACGTCCGCAGTGAAGCCACCGACGGCTTTGTCGTCGTCGTCTGCCCTTCACCATCCTCTGACTCTGACGCAAACCTCGTGATCCAGATAAAGTAGCCCAGACCCGCTAGCGCAGAAGAGAGACTACACGCGAGCGAGATAGCAGCCTGCATATTAACACTCGGCGTGACACCTCTTACGTGAAACCTAGATATAAGAATAAGATCCAACAAGATATTCACCGCAAACTTGACCCCGTTGATAAGCAGCGGTACATCAGGTTTATCCAGCGCACGCGTCGACGCACCAACCGCATACTCGACCGCCGACGCAAACGCCGAAAAAGCTGATATACGCACATACGTAACGCTCGCAGCGCGGACTTCGCTAGGAACGAAACCCCTAGCAAAAGTAGACGCGCCGGCTACAAAAGCGATACTCATGATTAGACCTAACACGCCCTGGAACAGAATAAGCGTGTGTGTCAACTGCAGTCGAGACCGATACTCCCGATTGGCCTTGTCGCCGATGACCAGGTAGGACGCGCGTGGTAAACCTTCGTTTAGCACCTCTGCGACGACGCCGATGTAGGTGAAGGTGTCTGTTGTTACGACCATAGAGGAGTCAATGTGCGCGACCCAGAGCTTGGAGAGGGTGGTGTAGAGGGCTGGGAGGATGAAGGCGCTGATGTTGAATAAGAGTGCGCCGATGTATCTGGAGTGTGTTATTAGTTGATGGCGTGTTGGCGTGTGGCGTAAGGTAGCTTTGGTGTACACCCAATCAGGGTTTACTCACGTATCGCGGTGGCGAGAGGGTGTTAGATCCTGCTTCGCGAGCTTCTTCCATGATAGTTCGGCGTCATTATTAGTCGCTTCTTGTGGTTCATCGCGCTCCTCGCTGTGCGACGTGTCGCTATCGCGGCCGTCCTTTGAGTGCAACATCTGGTACGGATGTCGGTGTTGAGGTTGAGGTGCAGACGGCAAATGGGAGGAGGTGGAGGAAGAGGTGGCCATGGTCATGCGAAATGAAAGAGGCCATCTATCAGCCAGCCGCCTTCACCTGCTTTACGAATCTCGCCTATCGGGTAAAGCAGGTAGCGAGGTGAAGGGCGCAATGCGAGAGGCTGGATAGACGAAGCGGGGTCGCATCGCATGGAAACGAAGAAGCTACCTTGGCTACAGGGCTACAGGGGCGCCTCCATGAGATCCATGGTATCTTTGTCGATCTATGCTGTTGGCATAATCGTCGCTGTGTACGTTCATGATATGCGCATCGCTAGCTGAACGAAGGCGTAAGAAGCCATGATCTTCGGCGGGTAATTTTTACATTTTTTGGACTATGGATTTGCTGTAAATCTATGAGTTTTGCAGTGCAAGTTGCTGTTTTGCAGCCTTTTGTATTTGTGGGTTCGGGTTGCTTGGGAGGTGATTGTTTTGGGGTTGACTGTGCATGCGGAATATGGGATGTAGGTAAGGTAAGAGTGAAAAAGTTCGGTAGAGTTCTCTTAAAAATCAGGTAATCGATGGTTCCTCAGTTTGGTAAGCCAAAGATAGGTACTGTGGTACTGCAAAATATTTCATGTGTAGTTTCCGCGAGTTAGAAAAATAGAAAGCTATAGGTAGAGCTCGATACAGGTTGTCACCCTCCATGTCATATGCGAAATGCGGTAAAAGACGAGTTTTGTTTGGAGCTCGGGCTGCACTGCAAAGGACAGGGGATGTAAGTATAGAGGTAGGTGTATGCATTCTTTGTCAAGAGAGAATTTGCCCAAGGCGAACAGAGCGGTCAGGTGTCCGCGATATCTAAGACTAGTGCCAGCACCAACCGACAGCAGAACCTCTGTTTCCTGCATGAGCAACCTCCCAAACATCTTTACAATGCGTCTCCCATGGGTTTCCATCGATTCCCCTTCCGCTCCCCTTGTCGATACACTGTAGGCCGTGATTAGTAAAATCGTAGGTAGTTGGAAAGCTGTAATCCTCAGGACTCACAGAGTAGCCATCTGTACAAGTATTAGCTTTTTTGCAATAGAAGGCAATAGATGAAAGCGCAGTGTCTTACCGAAATGAGTATGGGGTTCACCTGACAGAGCCCAATTCGTACAAGTATCTTTACTAAGCTCGACGTTGTACTCGCCATTAGTCTTGCAACCACAGTTGTGGTATATCCTTGCAGTCACGCTGAAGCAAGGTATCCAAAGTTAGCGATAGTGGAAAGACAGGACCAAGTAGGGGCAGACTCCGCAACAATCAATCGATTGACATGATTGATTCCTATATAGGTTAAAGAATTACTTCATTAGGCAGCCTTTAACCTAGATAGGAATCAATCATGCCGATCCGATTGATTGTTGCGGAGTCTGAGTAGGGGGCACTTTACCTGCCCATGAGGGACAAGATCGTGATGATAATGGTAGAAGAAAGCATCTTGCTGATAGATTGTTGAGAATAACGGGTTTTCTGTAGCAGAGTGTACTTTGTGATGGTTCAGTTGAAGCTCTTAGAACTAAGTTAATGATTGAGAAGCTGCGAAGAAGCTGTACTTTATCTGTGTTCCAGTCTGCATGAAGTCACATATTCTGGACCTTATCACCAGACTCCGCAACAATCAAATCAATCAATCTTAAGGTTGTCGATTGGTTTGATTAGCTTGCGGCGACGCTGCTGATTGATTGCGGATTGATTGTTAGGGTTTTTGAGCAGATTGATTGCGATTGATTGGTTGATTGGCTGATTGATGCTAAGAAGTAGTATACAGGGGGTTATGGTGTTGTACTCCAGCCTTCTATATCGTACTGTTGTACAATCTCCTCATCTTTGACGTCACTCCACTTATCTTCATCATCACCGTTGTTGTACAAGCCGTCAAAGCCAGCTCGTCTCCACGAACGTACAAGCTGAAGGGCAGCAAGTAACTCGCTGCCAAGAGCTCGCCGGCGCGGCTCAAGTAAATCGCCAAGCTCGCTAAAGAGCCTCTCGCAGTCGCAACTAGATGCTGGTATCGTGAGTATATCAATCGCAAACTGGCTTAAACACGGGTATTTTGAGCGTAATTGAATCCAGTACTTGACTGGGTGGCCATCGCTAAGATACTGTTCGCTTGTCCACTCTGGCTCTTGAGTTCTCCAGCGCTCGTACTCATCGTCGTGGGCAGCCTCTACCTGAGCCTTGTTGCGCCGTACGAGGGCGCCAATCACATCATCTATTCCTCTATGCCTTGGTTTTGCAGTTGTTTGAGATAGAGGACGTGTACGTTGAGGCTTATACGACTGCCAGAGCTGCAGGAAGCCAGCGTTGGCTGATGTTAGCCATTCTGGCTTATCCACCCAGCTGTTCTCGCAGTAGTATTTGTAGTATGGATGGAGGCAGGTAGCAGCGTAGTATGCTGGCGATCGATCGAGCTTGTTGTAGTAATCGTTGGCCTTACTCCAGGCGGCGCGGAGGTTAACAAAGAGGTGATCTTCAGGCGCATCAGGTGGGTTGAAGTCAACTTGCTCGTACGAGCGCGTACGGGCTTCGAGCGCGCCAAGTACGTATTCAAATACAGGAATAGTCTCATATATAGCGCCGTATTTGCCTGCCTTTCCGCGACCCTCAAGCTTCTCCGTAGCAAGCTTAAGCGGCTCTAGGCAGTCCTGATACTCTGTTATCACCGCCCAATCAGCAGCTGTAAGTCCTGTTGATCTCATCCAACTAGGTGCTTCAGGGAGTTTATTGCCACGTTGACAAGCGCGGCGATCTTCAAGGGAGAGTGCGTTAATGTAGTGCTCAGCGTAAGAGTTGTATGCTGCCTGGAGTTGAGTTGCGCGTTTGAAGGCAGCGTAGTAAGAGTTCCAGCGTGTAACAACAGGCTTCACAGGCTCAAGTACGTGGAGGCGCTCTCTAGCTGGCAACTCGGCGTTGGCGGCGGTTTGGAAGCTTCGGAAAATTTCGTGTTGTTGAGGCGTTTTTATATGGTTGATAACGTCGATAAGTACACCTAAGGGCCCTTCTTGACGCCACTCCTGCATGTACACCTCCTCTGTTTGGAGCTGCTCGTCGTTGTTGTTGTTGTACGCCTCTTGATTGCTGCCAAAGATAATTGCCTGGCCAATAAGGTTAAGCGTGTGAGGGCCGCAGCGGAGGCGTCGGTGAGCAGCGTTGAAGTCGTACGCGTGGGCGAGCGAGGAGACTGCAGTATCGTTGTTTGCAGCATTGTCGAGGACGAAGTAGCCGAGTTTATCACTCCCAATACTGTATTCTTGGAGCGTCTTTTTAATTGTATCAGCGATAGCATCACCAGTATGAGAGCCTGCGAGATGTGGGAGGGCGATGGGGAGATCTTGTATCACTCCAGAGGCGTTAGCAAAGTGTGCAACGACTCCAAAGAATCCACGCTTGCCACCCTTTGTCGTCCAACCATCAAAGCTTATGTGGATCTTGCTTGCAGCTTCTGACAGAGCGCAGACAATCTGTGGCTGCATATATTGGAAGAGGCGCATTGCGTAGGTAGCTACACTGCGAGGACTTACCCACAAAGCTGCCTCTGCCTCTGGGTTTGCAAGGCTAATCATCTCGCGAAAGGACGGCCTTGCAAGTAGCTCCATTGGCAAGTTGTTATCAAGAAGGCAGAACACTGCAACTTCACGAAACTGCTGGATGTTGAAGTTGCCCATCGCGTTGGCAGCCTCTTGAGAGACTGCAACACCAGTCTCCAGCGTCTGTCGTAGAGAGAGTTGCTGCCCTGTTCTTCGAGGCTTCAGGCCGTCTTTTGTAAAGCCATGGCCTCGTTTCTGAAGGCCAAGATGAGCTGCAGCTGAGGAGGTGGCCTTTGATACGTCAAAAACTCCACTGCCGCCAGTGTCAATGACCTTGTGGATGTGGCAGTATTTGCATACAAACCACACTCGATTCTGATCGTAGAGCTCAACAACGCGATATCCATGTTGAAAGATCCAACTCTTGACGCGCCGCCCAGTTGTAAGAGGCTTCATGAACCGAGGGAGGCGATCCCAGTTAATGCCGTCAAAGTTATCGCCATTATCAGGCTCTGTATCAACACTAGCCTCTGTTGTTGCTGCTGTACCAGCCTGGCTGCCCTCAGCCGCACCCTCCTCCTCTGTTTGCGACTCGAAAAATTGCGACTCAAACGTTGTGGCCTGGCTTACGGCGGCGCCAAGGGTTTCCTGAGGCGACAGCGATCGCTGAGATAGGACAGAGGGCCTTGATAGGCGCGCCCGTTTGGCGGCGGCGGCGGCGGCAGCAGTATTGGTGGGAACTCGAGAGCGTTTGGCCCAGACTCCGCAACAATCAATCGATCGACATGATTGATTCCTATATAGGTTAAAGAGTTACTTTATTAGGCAGCCTTTAACCTAGATAGGAATCAATCATGCCGATCCGATTGATTGTTGCGGAGTCTGGTTTGGCCATCGTGGGCGATACTAAACACTAAAGAAAAATGTCTGTATAGGTAGCTAGGCAACTAGTGTTGTGTGTAAGGGATTATTAGGGAACTGAGTGAGCGAAATCGTTGTTGTATTAAGAACAGCGAAGGACTAGCTATATAGGTGCGGGGTGAAGCCTAGAAGAGGCTAGCCCCTAAGCAGAAGGAGCTAGTCCTATAAGAGGAGAGCTAGCTGGTGAGAAGTGAATGCATAGAGACTGGCTTGCCCGGCCGACAGGGATCACAAGCTAAGCGAGATAGGGGTCCAAGATAACTATCTTCAACACCAAAAACCTTCTCTTAATACGACACTACTCGCCTTACAACTCGTTAATAATAAATCAATCTAACTAATCAAATCAATCAATCTGACCTTCGCAAGTTGATTTGATTAGCTATTTTGAAAAGCTTAGATTGAGTTGATTGAGTTGGTAAAAACTCCAAATGACCAATCAAATCAATCAATCTGACCAATCTGGATTGATTGTTGCGGAGTCTGCTTATCACACATCCCCTTCTAGCTAAATTCAAAATCCTCTTTGAAGTTGCGTGATAGCGCATCTTGATGAAGCATGCGCGTAGTAGAGCAGCTGGTTGGTTCGGCATATGCGGCATACCATCTCTGTTTGTCTGTCGGAGTCGAGCAAGAGTTCCAATAATTGTGGCTTACTAGGGTTCTACAAACCTCATCATAAATCACGACGACATGTGCCCACAGCAGGAACCGTTGATAGGTTAGGCGTAGTGCCGGTTCTTGTCAACCGGACCGAATATGTTGGTCTGACCGCCGAGACTCACTGAGTTTCTACGAACCCAATCACACATCACGACGACATGTGCCCACAGTAGGAACCATTTATAGGTTAGGCGTAGTGTCTGCTCTTATTAACCGGACCGGATATATTGCTCTGACAGCCAGGGCTTACTGAGTTTCTACGAACTAGACTCCGCAACAATCAATTCAATCCGGTCACTCTCCTAGACCCACTTACCTATCTAGGTAGGGCTTAAACTCCTATAGGTAACTACTAGGCTTAAAGCGGTAATCAATCAATCCAATCTGAACCTTCTAGGACCCACTTAATTGATTGTTGCGGACTGTGCTACGAACCCAACCATAAATCACGACATGTGCTTATAGCAGGAACCGTTGATCACAGTCCGCAACAATCAATTAAGTGGGTCCTAGAAGGCTCAGCGTGCACAGCCTAATTACTGGATCAATCCTATGAGCTAGCTCTAGCAGCTCGCTCCGCACCTTGCATAATTGCCGTGATCCTTAGCTGACAGCCCGCCTTGCATCGAGTGCTGCGTCCTCTATGAGAGAAGTAACATAGAAAACTTTGGGGTGGCGCTAC